AGGACTGCTTATAAGCAAATCTGATCCCTCTCAACAGAAACACTCATCCCCAAATCTGGCAGCAGAACTAAGGTGTCAGCAGATCTTTACATGCCTTTACAGTAACGTATCATTCATGACTCGTACAGGATTGTAAACCTCCGTGCATCTCCCACCTCCAGACTCCTAAATCAAGCAGAAAGAGCACTTGGCAGACACAAGACAGTGCTTTTTTTGCCACAGCTTTACCAAAGTGAGTTATCCAAACACAAATCTGTGTAAGGAGCCTGTTTCATAAAAGATAATGGGAAGTCTTTTAGGAAAACAGATGAAAAGAAAGGTGAAAGTTCACTAAAAGAGACATATAGACTTATTTTATCCCAAATTAACTGCCTTCCAATCCCAAATTCCCCACTTCACCCTAGACTTCCAGAAAACAGAATTTGTCCTCCAGAAGCATGCCTTCAAAGAAAAAAAAGTGCAAACCAAGCAAGTTTAAAAGGTCTCCAGGCACAACATAACTACAAAAGGCAACTACTGATAGAGATAGAAATTAAATCTCATGTAAGTGGAAGCAGCACAGATAAATTGGCTAGTCACCACCTGAATGGTTTTCCTTATGAAAGACCACAGATGCTACAGCTGGCATAAAGACTGTCTCCCTGCTGCTCTGACCATCGTGTCTGATAAAAGATACCTGATGCCATCTGGCAGCTCAAGCACAAACTTTGGCCACCAATATCCCACCCTCCTCCCCTCCCTGCTACAACCTGTGGTCATGCCGACCTCCAACAGCAAAGCTGAAATGTCTTATGAACAAGTGTAACAACTCTAAGCCACAAATGCCAAAAGTGGATGCCAAAAATAGGACAGGACAAGGTAAGATCAGACAGGGCAGAAGTGGCACAAGTGACCATAAAGCCTGCTTCCTCTCAAACCTAAGAAAAACTTTACTAAGCAAAGTATATTCATTACATTTAGAATACACCAAGACAGAAGCATCTGACAGCTTGGTATTAAAAGGCAGAAGAACAGCAGGAAGAAAACAGATTTACTCTACTGCCTAATTGCAGTCACAGCATCCCTAGTTTCAAGGTATTCTGGCCCACAAGTGAAGGGACTACTTTTGAAGAGAAAACTGTAAAAAAAGAGCAACTGCTGCCATCTCGTGGGAGGCCTGTATCACTGGGTAGCAGAAACGCGGGTCCTGTTGCTCTTTGCCACTCACCGCTTGTAGGCTGAATGGTCATTCTTCACGCTGCACTTCATATTTTTCAACTCATCCAACACTGCAAACATGTTGATGAATTTGCCCAGCGTGATCAGATATGCTTCAGACACAAAGTCCTTCCTCCTCTCTGCATGGCACAAGCGTCTCACCTCCCCACAAAACCGTTCAATCGCATTTCTCTAGTGGATCGAGAGGAAGAGAAGAAACAAAGGAGTAAAAGCCACGATGTTTCCAGGAAAAAAGCTTCATTGCATAACTGGAGCCAGTCCAGCAAAAAGCACCACTGAAGCAGAAAAATGCTTAAATCATGCAAGGCTAACAAGGCATCAGCTCAGGCTTTTCAGCTCCACCTCAGTGTACTACTTGCTACGAGCATCACAGAGTTTGTCACAGAGTTCGTCCAGCACAAGAGAGAAAGTTCTTCTTTGCAGATTAAAGTAAAGAATGTTTAAAAGCATTTGAAACAAGTGATTTCAGGCTCATTGGTGAGGCAGCATATATGCACTAAAAGCAACTTATAGGTATGTTCCCTCAAAATGAAAAAAAGTCCACAGCATGCTGTACATGTCAACTCTCAAAATCACCCCGACACGTGTTTATCTGAGGGCTTATTTCCAAGCGCACATCAGGGCCATCTGAGATGTATAAAAAAAAATAAAGAGATGACAAAAAAAAGAAATCTACTTCAAATATAAAGAGGAATCTGTTCTGACTTCAGAGCACTAATCTCCTCGAATGAAAGGAGGCTGTTTGTATCCAATAAGATCCGCCAAGTCATGAAGATGACAGGAAATATTAGGTTTCATTCAGCCTTCCTGCGTGCACAAGGGCTTGCTCACAGGCCCTAGCTGCTCCGGGTCCCTCTGAATAATGCCTGGAAACATCCTCAGTCCCTTGAACCAAGGCAAGCTGCCAGCACGGGAGCAGAAGAGAATTCTGCCAGACTGCTGTTCTCCAGCACCCGCGGAGCTCGGGTGGCGGCTGGGTCACAACAGCTGGGTTAGCCTGCCTCAATTCGGAATTTCCGCAGCAAAGTTGCACCTGCCACTCTGGTGTCCAGACCCGCTGCCCTAACAAATGTTTTATGTGCTCAGACACATTAAAGCGTACATGTGAAATGTATTATATTTCTATTTTCTTTCTTGCTATGTCCCCATGCGCTACATAGGGACCATCTGCAATTACCTTTGATTTTATGCTGAAAGTCTTAATGGAGGTCGCCTGGAGTTTTTAAGATAGGCAGTAGAAATTCTGCCCTTCTGTAAGACAATATGGATGGCGTTTTTTCAAAGTATAATGACTGAGCACACATTATGAAGCATGCAAAATAGGAATATAAAAATACAAAGCCTACTAATGAATTTTGTTTCCTTTCCTTTTACCTGAAAATACATAAAATTCATCAGTTTTGTGACTTCTGGCTCCAGAACTTCCACAGTTTTCTCGTAAATTTCTACTCTGTTAGGCTGCTCATTGCACTTGACCTGAGGATAATTAAAGAGATCATTACACTTGGAACATTTCCTGATAAAGCCTGAGAAACTAAGATCCTGAGAAAACACATTACCATCCTCAAGAGACAAACTTAAAGCATAAATTTCTGGGTTTGGTAATTTTATGCTAGTCTTCTAAGTATAACTATGTGTGGAAAAAAAAAGTATCTTTTTCTATTAGCTCACTGTTGTCAAATGCTTCTGTATGCTTAGGACAATATTCTTTCCCCATTAAGCCACTTGCTCAAAATCATGCCCTAAAATAGGGCCAGAACTAGAAACAGATTATCTGACTCCCACTCTAAAAAATTTAAACCACAGAATAAGCTTTCCTTGCATTTTAGTACAAAAATAATTGCGTTACAAACTCCTTATATAAAGCAGGCAGGTGTTAACTCAGTTATAATTTTGTTCAGTTTTCTGATGCATCTTAATATTCTTCCCATCCCACGTCTGTACAACCATTCCCAGACACTTGAGGCAGGCTCATCACCTACTCATGGGATTTTATTTTTTGTATGTGATTAAGAAAAACACTATGTAGCTCTCACATTTAGGAAATTACTACCTAAGATGTCTAGAAATGTAAATTTTTAACTTGAATGTTACTTATTCCATGCTATGCTACTTGTTAAACCTGTACTGAATTTAAGCTGTAGAGTGGCAAGGGTCCTTTCTCTTGAACAGAATTTGACCTCAGACAGATCCAACAATCAAAGGATTTCCTTCTAGAGCACATTACCCCATACTACTCTTGAATTGGAAGACTGACACAAAACCCATGAGGTATTGCTAGAAGGCACTATTCTATTTCATGCCCAGCTTAAGAATTCAGGACTCAAAGTAGACTAAATTTCAGAGCTCACTGACAAAGCTCTATCTGTGCAACTCCACACCAAAACAAGACAGGAGCTCACACTATGCATGACAGTTTTATGTTCATCCTTTACCTGAGGAATGGCTCTTGAGCAGCTTCTCCATGTGTATAACATGACTGCATATTCCTGACCTTCTTCTAGCATTTCATTCTGTATGGAAGACAATACAATTAGGTGTTGTCATACAAAAGGGTTAAATCCACTTCCCTTCCCTCATTTCAAATCCTTGTCCAAACAAGCCTACTTCTCTTATCAGAACGTGAATGTACAAACACACATATATTGCACGCTGCATGATACATGGTACTGTATGGATGTAAAATTATACTATCATAATTCATAGGCTCAGCTGGTGTATTACATAGAGCTGATTACCTACTGATGTCCAGCTTGGCTACAATCAAACAGCAAAAAAAAATAAATTCCATTTATTCTCAGTCATCTGGTTTAGCACCAAACCTAATTCTGAGAGAATTTACATCATTATACCACTTAAGCCAGCAAATACCTATCAGATCACTAATCAATGACTGCAGTGGTTACACTTACCTAATGATAACTGGGGTTTTTTTTATCTCCTCAGTTCAGACTGAGGGTTTTTTGTGTTGTTTTTTCTTCCCAAAACTAAAGACACTGCAATTTACAAATGTAAATAAAAATGCTATTCTGAAGGAGAAGGGTGTTGGGGTGGTGCTTGTTTTTCTTTTTAAACTCGGGGCACTGCAGGCAGAACAGTCAAGGATGAATAACTCAGCATATGCAGAGAAACATCCTTTTTTACATGTTGAAGGAAAAGTCCAACAACATCCAAACAAACAGGTTAAGGAGTGTCAAATAATTTTAAAAGTAGATTGGTGTAAATTTACATAATTTTCAGTAGCATGTGATCAGGTGCTTAATCCTCCCATTCCACCATTCGTGCACTAAAGTCTAGAACTACAAAACATATCATTCCTCATTTTCCAGGAGTGCCAGGAAACAAAAAGTTCGGTACAGACCAGTATTTGCAGCCTGCAAGTTCTTTTGTATGCCAAAACAGCTACATCATCAGCAGAGACGGAGTTACTAGCACGAAGCCTTATCTTCTATTGTGTAACTGTTAAAAACCACAGAATAACCTACACAAAAGAATGCTGATAAACCACTAACACTCCTCAGTGAGGAAGTCAAGAAAATCTCTTCAACACCACTAAACTGACAGAGAAATAGTGTAAATTTGGGAAAATGGAAGTTAATTTTTCACTTAAGTTATAGCAGCCAGCTCTCAGGACAACTAACTCAGAGTATTGGAAAAATGCACAATGAAAGTAGGAAACTTTTTGAGCAACATCGATTGATCCAGAGGAGAGAGACCATTTTAAAACTACCAGGAAGTCCATGTGTGAAAAAAGGCCACACTTTTTCATCTTACTGCCTCCTGGAAGCACTGTAGGTAACCTGGTTTCTGGTTTTCTGTGATCACAGTTCTCACAATGAACAGCAAGAAGGCATGTTCCTCTTCTTTTATCCAAGTAATACAAAAGTATATATCTGAACATCTACTTACCATGCTAGAATGGACTGTAGCTTGCTCAATGTATCTTGCAATGCCAGTGACAAACGCATTTCTGTCTTCAAAATTTGTGTTGAAGTTTGGCTGCAGAGGAAGCAAAATACAGAATTAAATCTTTGGTAAGGAAAATAATTTTTATATAAATTGCAAAAATAAAAAGACTTTGCTCTTGGGTTTGTTTTCCTGAAAAAAAGCACATACTCTCCTTCTCAACAGTAAAGAGAAATGGAAGAACTCTTTTTTCCTACAGTGACAACACACCTGGTAAAGCAGAGATGATGGTGGAGGTTCAATACATGGTTGCTGATCTGGCAGTGGTAATTCTTCCAAGAGATCCACATTGGACAAGGCATCCTCCAGTGTTACCTGAGCAGTCATTTTGCACCTAGATAAAAAATACATACATACATATAGATACATATACACACATACATATAGATTTATATGTTACTATATGCACAGAAAACTGATGAGGAATATGAAGAACGGGGAACTACTTATGTTGTGGCAAATGTGCAGTTTCCCTTCAAGCATAACGGAACAGTCAAAAGGAAACCCAGCTGGGTTTTGTACACAGGTTTAAAAAAAGATTTTCAGGACTAACATCCTCCTCCTTATGTTTATGAGTTGAGAAATGTTTCTCTTTGCCCACAGCTGCACACTAGAAATACACCAAAAATAGTGGAAAGCATGACCTCCAGTGTTCAATTTTGAGCTGATGGGTCTTCAAACCCTTATGCACAGATACTACTGCCAGCCCATCTTCAGGAGACCTGGCTGTCAGCACTCTCCAGTGTTTCATGACCTAGGACATCCAGATCTGCTTTGAGCAGTTACTGACAGAGAGGGACAAAACTCCTCTGGGTCATGGCAATCTCTGTATACCTCCAACTGCTGCCACTTGCACAGGGTTTTGAATAAAGAACAGCAACAAGAAGAAATTTTAGGAAGAATGACAGAATCACCAAATGTGTTGGGCTGGAAAGGACCTTTAAAGGTCATCTAGTCCAACCCCTCTGAAGTGAGCAGGGACGTCTTTAACTAGATCAGGTTGCTCAGTTCGTCAAGCCTGATCTTGAATGCCTCCAGGGACAGAAAAAAAAAAAGCAAGCATGGGGTGGTACAACTCAATCACTCACTTTTATATAACAATCTACTCATTTCCTCCTTGGCAAAGTAAAAAATTCCTCATTTTTAAGGCAGCACCTCTAATCCAGCTGTCTCTCTTCTTCAACAGAACTTCACAAGTTATTTTCCACTCCTTCCCTGAGCAAAACCACGCACCTGCTGCGAAAGGAGCGACTGAGCTCTGCCCTTGGCTCTAACCAGGAGGGCAGGAATGATGAGCATCTGCACCCCAGAGGAGCAGGATCCTGCCTGGCACATGTCACCACCGTGGAGCTGTGCCATGCCTACCAGCAGGGAAGGGAACAAGCAGATCTTGTCACTGCTTTCCCAAAAAGCCCATCACAAGAGAACCAGGAAGGGCTGGCAATCCCACCATTCGCTGCAGTTTTAGTGGCTTGGCAGAAATACCTCCCCACTTTCTCTTACGTAAGTACAGTTTCCTGGGGAAAGCCCCATAGAAACAACAGCTTTATCTCCAAGGAAAGGCTCACCTGTCAAAACCAAACCAAAACAAAACAAAAATTACCCAAAACCCAAAGCAAAGGGAAGGAAGAAGCCACAAGTAATTACCTATCTACCTTCAAAGACCCACCCTGCGTCCCAAGCCACTGCTGCAACGCTAACATACCGCGTACGGAGAGAGCTCGCCAACAGCTTTACACAGCCACCATCAGAAAAGTCCAGGAGACTTTTGCTTCTTGAAATCTCAGCCCAAACCTTGCTTCTATCCTGAGCATATGAGTTTTTGTTAAAATAAATAAACAGACTAACGCCCATATTGTGCAATTTGTGATCCCCGCAGAAAAACGAGGAAGGACTGGGCTCACGGGAGCGCTGGCTGGCTGGCCTGTGCCGAGATACTCGCCCAACACCTGCCTACACCCAGCCCAGGCTCCTTCCCGAGAACCACAGTTATTCTCAAATTAGAGACCGGCAAAAACCACGGTGTCCTCCCTTTGATAAATAAACAAACACCAAAAACATTCCACATCTGGGCAAAAGTCCTGTGAGGAGCTCAGACTCTCAACAGTTTTACGCAAGAGGAAATGGAAGAGAACTGCCAAGAAGTCAGAGCATTTCAAACAAACAGCATTTTAATTTTTGGTTTGAGTATCTACAGATCAAGCTTTAGCTAAAAAAGAAGACAACACTTTACATAGGCTAGTTTAACTGAGAGGCTCCTTCCAACTTGCAATTTCAGCACAATTTCCCTAAGACAGATCAGCATTTTGTGAACCGGGAAAACCTAAGTAATCGGGTGCAGGCTGTTACAAAAGCCTTCTTGTTTTGAAGGTCGCTTGTTGACAGCTCTGCTTTGTCATTTTGCCAAAGGTATCCATGGGTCTGGCATTTTATTGGCCACAGCCAATGCTCCCGTCCAGCTTTTCACCCCAGTACCTGGCAAGATGTGAAAGGGAGAGCAGCTCCTTCCTGCTCAGCTTGGCACGTCTGCAAAAGTGGCGAGGGCACAATTCGCTCTTCCCCTCTGCCCCCTGGGAAGTGAGTAGAAGGGGGGGTTGACAAAGGGTGGCAGGAGGGGACAGACGGAGCTCGGACATACTCGCGTTGCCTTACCTGACACACAACCGCACGGTCCTCGCCACCTCCTCGCCTCATGGGGAAGCTCTGAGACCAGGAAAGATTTTCTTTAAATTTAGGGGTTTTTTTAGTTTTTTTGCTGTTGTTGTTAATAAAAGCAGCTCCAAAAGACAACGGCTATTTCTAATGCACAATGACAGAGGGCTGGCAAAATCAGCATTTCCACCCCAACCCCTGTAAGATGAACTTAAGAAAACTAAAATTACCATGACACAAAATTTGATACTTTTGCCTCCTTAAGAGTCATTCACTAGGATTGAAATTACTGAGCAGGAGCACTAATATTTTAACAGATTCTCTTTCAGCAAAGAACAGAAGAAACTTCAAAGACTGATTTGAAAAAATTCAGAAGCTGTAGTCTGATTAGTTCACCTAAATGAGAACAGATTAAAACACTGTAGTCATACTGATGATTATAGTTATACTAGTAAATTTACCCAAACTGTGAGAACTATTTTTTTACTAAATTCCTATGATGTCTCATTTCTATGATGTGTTTTCAGCCTTGTATCTTTTTCCAGGCATTTCTAGGCTGGGTTTTCTCAGGTAGTAGACATGTAAGAATCACTTCTGAAATAATCCTCTTTTTCTTTTGTTATCTTTGAAATATGACCCATCACTAGAGCAGTGAAGTCAAAATGCACTCCAAGAACATGTTTTCCTGGACATACATAATTAATGGGTTTTAATTAAGTTATCTGACATCCTCTCTCCAGCAGATTCACATAACGCTAGCAAGTTGTTTCAGTAAATTTTGGCGTCCGGTGAGCATACTCAGCTTTCTAAGCAGGAGACAGCAGCATCTGTGCTGATTCTCAGCTTCTTTTTCTGGATTTCAAAGCAAGAAAATCCTTGTCTCCTGCAGAGACAAGCTTCAGCCTTAGAGTGCCAAGTCCCACCATGTCCCAGGATTAGAGGTATCAGTCACAGGGTTTATAAGACTACAGACTAGCTTCACGTTCTCTTTTTCCTTCAGGTCCGAAAGCAATGAGCGCTGGCTGGGCTTGACCTGCTCAGAAAACCTTCTGCTGCAGAGAAACTTACTGAGCTTCCTCCACCACATTTTGCCCATGAGGAAAACAAAACAAAAAAAGGCACCAGACCTTGAAGCCCTTTTAGCATTGTTTGCATTTTGATTTAACTTCAGAGCTGGCTTATTAATGAAATGTAATCAGATGAAAGATTTAACAACCATTTTTCAATGTCATAATTCTATGCAGCCACGTAGCTGAGTGGTTCACAGTGCCCTGCTCACAACATTGCTCTGGTATTTAGAGGAGACGAGTGTCATTCCCGACAGAGACACCTTTTCCACATCTCCATCCTTACAGAATAATGATAATGTCTTTGCAAAATATCTACATTCTTAATTCTAAGTGTATCAGGAAATGACAAGCATGTATCTCTCAGACCTGTTCTTTTTGGCCTCTTGAGGCTTCAGAATATTTGGGAAAAAAATACAAACAGAAGCAAATTATGGGGAAAAGTGTTTTGGACAAAAAAATATAGAAAAGCATACAGAAGGTAAGGACTGAGGAAGCAGAGAGTCGAGAAAAGAGCGTTAAGTTCAAAATCACCCTAAGCTGCTGTTCAGCTCTCAGGTTCAAAGTTAAAAAAATTGCACCAAATTCGAGGAAGTTAAGTAGTCATAAAAACTCCATACTTCAGTGTTTTAAAGATTTCTTCCAGGGACAGAGTTAATCAGATCAGATTGTTTATCAAAAAGAGCATCAAAATACAACTCAGACACCTATTCTATAAATAGCTAGAAGAGGAAAATGATGTTTCATGATACACAGGAGTTCTTAAACATGTTCAGCAACAGCACACACAACAGATGCAACTTGTAGCTAGTAACTAAGTCAATAAATAAATAAATATGGGTAAAGCAAATGAACTTAGATAGCTGTAGGTTTCTTGAGACCTTGTTATAAATACAGAAACTACCACACAGTTCCTCTTTAGCTTCTGTCACAATCATTTGGCCAAGACTTCCCCAGAAACAGCCTCAAGAATCTATCCAGCTGAGCTTTAAAAAGATGTCCACTTCCAACATAGAGTTCAACCTCAAATAACTGGTCTGAATACTTACAGATAAAAAATAAAGTCCTTCACCACAAAAAATATAAGATGGAATTCTACAGCTGCATTAGACAAAACATTTTAAAACATCACGAAACATTAAGAAAGCACACCTGAGCACCCTCACCTTGAAATCTTTAAGGATTTATCCTCGCATGACTGCCAGAGTGGGAAGCAAGCAGTCTTCCCCCTTGAAGTATGGCGGGTTATAGTAGGTAACATTCTGGACATGGTGACAATTTCCAGGTGTTTTCTGCTGTCAGCTCCTTACAGCACATCTCTTGCCATGCTGCCGCATACCAGAAAGATCAGGCGATGGACACAACTGGGTCTACTGCTACCACATTCTTATCTCATGCCCTGGAAGGTAAACTTCCACAGAAAACAAAAGGAGGGTTTGGCTGATAGCACAGGAAGGGAAAGATCTAAGGAGTGAGTGGGCAATGCCACGGACAGGAATCCCCTCCCCAATATCACACATAGGGCCACAGCAGCCAACCTCACTGCCAGCACGCTTGAGCTGGTAAGGTGAGCAAAAGCTCAGCTGCTCATGGACAATGATCTCCTTT